ACCACATACATACCCTTCGGCAAATTGTACAAAAGTCAGAGGAGTACAATTTGCCACTATGTCTGGCGTGTGTGGACTATGAGAAAGCCTTTGATTCCGTCGAAATTTGGGCGGCGATGCAGTCCCTTCAGCGGTGCCAAGTGGACTATCGGTATATCGAAGTGCTGAAGTGCTTGTACAGTAGGGCTACGATGGCTATCCGAGTACAGAACCAGAGTACGAAACCTATCCAATTGCAGAGAGGTATAAGACAGGGTGACGTCATATCCCCGAAACTCTTCACCGCTGCATTGGAAGACGTTTTCAAGCTCCTGGACTGGAAAGGATACGGTATCAACATCAATGGCGAGTACATCACTCACCTTCGATTTGCCGACGATATAGTCCTTATGGCAGAATCGCTGGAGGACCTAAGCACCATGCTCAATGACCTCAATAGTGCTTCCCAACGGATAGGTCTTAAGATGAACATGGACAAAACAAAAATCATGTTTAATGTCCATGTCACACCTATGCCGGTAGTTGTTGGGAGCACTAAGCTCGAAGTTGTTTACGAGTATGTTTACCTGGGACAAATAGTCCGACTAGGTAAGTCCAACTTCGACCGAGAGGTCAATCGACGGATTCAACTCGATTGGGCAGCGTTCGGGAAATTACGGCACATCTTCTCGTCAGGTATACCTCAAAACTTGAAAACGAGACTGTACAACCAGTGCGTGTTGCCAGGAGTTTCTCTGCGTGATAAACTCAGAAATGAGTATATCCGCAGTAGAACCAGAATGACCGACATAGCCCAACGGATTAGTAAGCTGAAGTGGCAATGGGCCGGCCATATAGCACGAAGAACCGACAACCGATGGGGAAAAAGTTTCTCGAGTGGCAGCCTCGTACCGGCAGGCGAAGTGTTGGGCGTCCCCCCACTAGATGGAGTGACGACCTGGTAAGATATGCAGGAAGTAGATGGATGCAGGTGACTCAGGACCGTGCTTTGTGGCATTCCTTGGGGGAGGCGTTTGTTCAGCTGCGGACTTGTGAAGGGCTGTAATGATGATGATGATTCAAAAGCATCAATACTCAAACTACTATGTAAAACTCAAAAACAAACTGTAATAAATTTAGTTCTTGATGCGCATACCGGCACTGCTCCTCCAAGAACCGCAGCAGATCACTGAAGGGCGGAATATAGGAGGCGCCGTCCCCGACGTACCTCTCCTCAAAATGTATCCGAAGGTCGAGAGGCAGGCGGGACAACACGATGTGGAGCAACAAAAAGGACCATTCGTCCACCGGTAAATCCAGCCGCCTCAACGCATTACAGGCCACCAATACTGGATTCACGAGGTCCGGACGTAGTCTGACCCGGTCCCTAAGCAGCGAGAGGCTTAGAAGCTGCCTAACGTATTCGTCCGCAATTCGCCGGACGTTGGCGTATCTTCCGGCGAGGAGGTCCCGAGCAGTCTGGTAGGCGTCGTCCGACATTCTCAAATGGCCGACGACGCCCAGGGCCTCCCCCTCCAGTGAGGCTAGGAGGTACGTCATCTTCTGGCTTGGCGTCAAGTCCCTTCGGGCGTCCACTAGGCTATCAAAAAGCCCAACAAAAGTCATCCAGTCGGAGAGGACCCCGGAGAACCTTGGCAGGTACAGAGTTGGGAGTCGTCCCAATAGCTCCGTCTGAGTAGGCTGCTTCCGAGAGGACTCGGCCAGGCCACTCAGCCGAGCTTCACGTGCTTCATTAGCATACTTGGCCCCCGCCTCGATCAAATCGTCCGTGAGCAAAAAACATTTCTCATAGTCCGCGAGGCAGGAGTCTAGGACTCCCTGTCCTGCATCCGAGGCCAAAATATCTGTGCAAGCCTCCTCCACTACAGCCCTTCGGGCATCGACCTGCTCGAGCCGCTTCCCTAAACTATGGACCCTATCGGATCGCCCTATCAAAATATGAGCGTTAGCGACCCAGTGCAGCTCCGCCTGCAGGCGAAGCGCCGGTAGCTTGTGCGATGGCATCACTACTAAATACAAATTACTATCAAATCAAGTTAAATACAAATTACAGTACACGGCAAATACACACTTCCCTCGGTCAGCAAAAATGCCTCGCTGAAGCGACCGACCCTTCGGCTATTTAACCTACCTACCCAAAATACCTGACGCGTACCTAGCCCTAACAAACTCCTGCTTGCGCAGCCTAACGGGCGCGGCTTTTAATTCTACCCGCTAACAAACAACAAAAAAAATATTTAAATTTTATTACGTACTTATTTATTACCTATATTACGGCCGGGTTTGATTGGAGAACCAATCCAAACCACGCTCTGCTACCAGAAATGATCACGTCCTTAGCTGCCCCGGCAAAGGTCGAATGGGCTAGGGCCCATAGTAGCCCCTCGACGGGCAACAGAGCACGGGGCCCAAATGGCCAATGGATATGTAGTATCTAAGGCTAGGTAGATAAATAAGACGTACCTGGATTCAAATCGAGGACCGACCCCAAGGCGCGGTCAGGCGTTAAGTATGTGCATGTATGTAGTGTATTACAAGGTGTGGTATCACTCCAGCGGACGTCACCAATTGACAACTTCTGCCTTCATTTCACTATTTCAGTTTATGAACTTTATTGTACACTATTTCAATCTATCAACTTTATTGTACATTTAATTAACTTCAAACTCAATTAGGTCCCCGTTAATCATGATCAAACACGAGACACACGGCACAACTAATGAACGGTTGATCAAAGTTCAACTTCCGTTTCACTTAGCAACAAATTATTTCTAGAAACCGAACGCGACCCTCTCTCGGGTCACAAAGTTCCGCGTTCCACATAACAAACTAAGATTCTTTCGTACGATATTAACAGGCCACTCAAGCAAATGAAATACTGCAAATGCGCTTCAAAATGCAATCACTATACAAATTGACGTAAATTACTTGCAAACAAAGGTAAGTTAATTTAATCACTCAACACTTAGACAGACCTCGTTATCGCGTAAACGCACTAAAATGATAACTTAAAATAGAAGCTATCTTAAAGCGACCTCACGAGTCTAGCGAAGAAGAAGAAGCGCGTCCGCGCAAACAATCTATTTTTCTAGACTCAACAAAACTCCTCGTCGTTACATAAATTTGCTAACAAAAACTGACACTATTTAGAGGTTATACGGTACGCGACCACGCCGTTCTAGTGACTGCGCTGCATTGTGTCGACTTCCGACACGCCAAACCCAAAACCAACTCTGCTCGCACGAACGTCAAACCGGTACGAATGCACCGCGCCGAGCGCCCTCCGGCGTCAATTCTTAAAATTAGCGTTTGGCGCGAATGATAAGACAGGCGACAGCACCAAGTATACCTTTGATCATGGGTTACAAATAAAGTCGATCCTGATGAAAAAAAAATCATCTTTTAACAACGTTTTATTAGCTTTATTCACGCGCCATCATGTTAGTACAGCTAAATGAAACGATAATTTCATAAAAAATATCATGAAAATACTGAAACATAAAACCAGCAGTGGAAACTGAATTGATATCACCTGACTAATGGAGGTTAATGTACGCGCGAACGGTGAAAAACAAACGCTGGCCTTGAACTTGGGCACTGAGCGATTTATCACATATTGGTACGAAAGGCGCGCGACGGGGGAACAATCCGCCAGTATTAGTGTGCCTGCATGCTATTGGTTCCCGCGCTTTGTTCGCTCCAAAAATACAGTCGCATACACAGCTTACTTTGCGACTCGCGACGATGTTTTAAAAAGGAAGGAAAGAAAAATTATTTATATCTATTGTTTTATGACTAAACTAGTGATCAAAAAGGTAAATATGATAGGAGAAGGTGAATGGGGAAAATTGTGCAGTAAAGTTAAAAGTGTGGAGGAAGAATACCGAAAAAATTACCATGTGATCGACCTGATGACGGAAGCTCAAGCGAAGATGAAAGTGATGATGAAGTAGCATCCAGTAACACCAACACACCATTAACATCTGGCTTCCATGTGACCCAAGACGTCATAATGGACGGCGTGTTACCCTTAGCTAAAGTTTTCTTGTTACAAACTACTTTATATTTTACGATAGAAATAACAAATAATGCTCATGTAAACATTATCCATTTTTAATTCCCACCTCTTCCAAAGTTCTAAGTAGCTAGTAAAACACCTATTATGATTCTACATTAAAACAATTAATTACTATAATATTATAAAACAATAGCCCAATACCATGTAGTACTTTAGAACGCGACTGTACCCACACCCCCTCCGCTATCGACCTGTATCTAGCTCGGTACGTAAGAAAAAAGGGCGCATCTAACAATTTATGAATAAATGAGTTAAATATACCATTCGATTCATGATAAGAAGGCGCATCTACTAATTTTTTTTAATATTCACAAATATCAATATTTTAGAAATTATCGTAAGAATTTTAGACGTAACTGTTGATCACAGATGACTTTTTTTAGTAGAAAAGACTTATACAAATTCAACATAAAAGAAAAGACTTATTTAACCAGTTGCTACGTCATCTTTAACAATATTTGCATCGATTACTTAAATTTCAATTATTCTTGGTCTTGTCTTATTATTCTATATCTTATTATTAAGAGCTTATATCTTATTGTTAAGAGCTGGTGTTTCACATGTGGTCCCATATAAATTTGATCGAGGTCAGAGCAATAGTTTTTGAGTTATCCTTAATTATTTATATTAAAGTCGGTTGTACAAAATTTTTAATTTTTAATTATTATCGTAGTAAGTCTTGTATGATATCCCCTTTAAAATCATTACTCAAGAGTTGCGGGTTGTTATTTTTTGTGTCTCACTACCAATGCTTTTCTAATATTTATTAAAAAAAAAAAGTAGTAAATTACTATTAGCGTCCTTTCAACTTCAAATGACCTTTCCAAAATATGTAAAATTGTAAAATGAATGGCAGTTTTTTTTTAATTTATTAGGTTGGAAAGACGCAAATAGTTATATGCGTCTTTCCTTCGATGTTTTTGTGATGCCGTGTATTTTTTAAGCTAAGATGAAAAGGAAAATTCGTTTTATTTAAATAAATAAACAAATTATCAAAAAATTTGTTCGTCCTTAAAATCTTCATGTCTCTACGTATATATTTCAATTTTCATATAGATACCTTTTAATATACTTTAGACATAGGGTCTGAAAGAAAAATTCATCACTTTATTTTTTATTTCCATTTTACGTTTTTGTTAGTTGCGTCCTTCTTTATGTAACCCGACGACGGCAGAATGTAACCCGGCCGGCTCGTGTCGCCTCACGCTGTGACGCAGTAGACAAAGAGTATAATAACTGTCCTAGCAGTAGGTTTCAGTTTTGTTGGGGTTCGTTATTAATTGTAGTTTTTGAAACAGTTCCGTGTTGATTTTGTACACGCGTGCGCGAGCGACAGCTCAATCGTATTGTTATTACTTGTGATTACGTGTTGGTATTATTCCTGTTGTTACGTTTTTTGTTTTAATAATGCTTAACGCGTACTTTTATAGTGATTGTGAATACAGCAACATGTTATCCGAACCCAGGTACACGAAGTATCGCCAAATAAATTGTTAAGACGTCGGGATGGAACAATTGTGTCATACTGTGCAGTGCACAAAGTGTTGAAGCGTAACCGAATGCGCCCATACAAATTGCACAAAGTGCAAGCTTTAGTTCCCGGCGATCACGTCCGCCGACGAGTTTTCTGCCGTTGGTTATTATACCGGCGACAACGTGTGCCTGGTTCCATTGAGCACATTATCTGGACGGATGAGTCGACATTTACCAGAAACGGCCTGTGGAACCGAAGAAATACACACGTGTATTCAGAGGTTAACCCGCACGCTGTTCGACAAACCGGGCACCAAACCCGATGGTCGGTTAACGTATGGGCAGGTTTATTTAAGGATCGCATACTGGGACCAGTGTTTCTGCCACAGCGACTGAACAGACAGCGATACCATGTCGTGAGGTTCGTCCGTGAGCGCCTCAATGAGCTATTTGATGATCGCTGGATCGGCAGACTAGGACCACACGCTTGGCCACCTCGCTCACCAGATCTGACCCCGTTAGACTTCTTTTTGGTATGTGAAAGAAAGGGTTTTTAATCGTGAGTGTGATAGTGCTGACAAAATGCGCCAAAGGATCGTGGATGCTTTCGAGAAACTATGTACGGACTGTGTCGAAGACCACACGATGATGCCCCGCCTGCACCCAAATCTACCTTGAAATGAATGGAGCACAATTTGAGCTGCATCTCATAAGACCACGGAGGATTTAGAGCGGTAAGCTGTTTCATAACTATTTTTTTTAAATAACTTAGTACTGAACTAATCTGAATAGGTACATAACTGAATACATGAGAATAATAAACATACCTACACGATGAATAAAAACGCATGACTCCAACCTTGGTTACATTTCATTTAAGTATTTTTTCATCAGGGTATGTAGTGGTATGGCCCGCTAGTTGCGGGCCGCGCGAATTTGCGTTCGCGAGTACATTGACCTTTAGTCAGGTGATACAATTCAGTCATTCCACTGCTGGTTTTATGTTTCAGTATTTTCATGATATTTTTTATGAAATTATCGTTTCATTTAGCTGTACTAACATGATGGCGCGTGAATAAAGCTAATAAAACGTTGTTAAAAGATGATTTTTTTTTCATCAGGATCGAATTTATTTGTGACCCATGATCAAAGGTATACTTGGTGCTGTCGCCTGTCTTAGTTTTCGGGAGCGTTCCAAAAATACCCTGTATATATATATATATATAGCAGGGGCAAACGAGCAATCACCCGATGGTAAGTACCTACCGCCGCCCATGAACAACTGCAACACCAGGGGAGTTGCAGGTGCTTTGCCGGCCTATTAAAAAAGAGTAGGCTCTTTTATTGAAGGTTCCTAAGTAGTATCGATATAAGTCGTATATTATATTGGTATAAGCATATAATTATATAATTCGTACACTCCTAGTGTTTACTAGTTTCAGAAGTGAATGATGATAATAAAATTGGTATGTCTGTATGTTTGTTTACCTGTATGTGTCGACAATGGCAGCATTGGAGTCCACCTCCCTTAACTGATGTAGCAAATGACGTACATTCTCTAGAGCCGCGTCGCAAAGTTGCGCCCGCACTACGATTTTATGTTTACGACGCAGATGGTTTTTAGCCTGGAATTTAAATTAAAAATATATACATATATACTTGATCTGATTTGGCCCGCCCACACTATAAATTTATTTATTACTAGCTGTTCCCCGCGACTTCAACCGCGTATAATTTAGGGTTTTGATTATATTCGCGGAACCCTAATTCTTTTTCTAAAATATAAGTCTAAATTACTCCTTATAACTTTAGCTATCTGCCAGTGAAAGTCCCGCCGAAAGCGATCCAGCCGTTTTGGAGATTAACCAGAACAAACAGACAGATAAAAATTTTAAAAATGGTGTTTTTGTTATAAGTACCGTATATGCTTTCATATGCATTTAGTAAAAAGCTGTTATTTTGACATTACAAACAGACACTTTAATTTTATTTATTTGTATAGATAAGTTAAATGGAACGAATTTTGTTCTGCTAGAGCCATAGTGCAACTATATTATGGATGTAACATGAATGGGTTGGCTCGATCATGCCCATCTCCTGGTTGGGTATTCTTACACCGCCACTACACGGTCAAGCAAAAATATATAACAATTAATGCATTTAATTTAACATACTCACAGCAAGCCTGTTGCCCAATTTCAAAGCAGGCTTTGCGTCCGTTTCGGCAGCAGCGAGTTCTTTTGAAAGCCGCTCCATGTCAGCTTCTAGCCGGGCTTCGGCTGAAGTCAATTTAACAAGCGCCTCATCCGCTTCTGTCACTGCTGTCGCCTTTTTGTTTGGCTCAGCTGAAAAATCATGAATTATGTGAAGAAAAAGATTGTGAGGAAATCTGCACGTCTGGGAAATTAAAAAAGAAATATCTATAAAATAAAAATGAATCGCTGAATGTAAGCGCTTACAATTCTTGAGAGCAGTTGAACCGATTTCGCTAATTATTTTTTTATAATATTAGTACGTAAGTACGAAGATGGTTCTTACGGGGAGAAAATTTTCAAAAATTGCCTAAAAAAGTCTAAAAACAACATTTTTCTATATTTCCATGCAAAAGATTCGTAATAATACTTAAAAGTCAATTTGAACTTTAATACCATACCATAAAGTTTAAGTGTTAGTGGAGGGGTTCCGGGAAGGCAAAACTATTGAGTAACGTTAGTATCGTATAAATATTAATGTCAATATTTGTCAATATTTATAAGATGGTAACATTACTCAAAAACAAAATTAGGATTCAGCGCAAAAAAAAATTATATCCATGAAATCGTAGTAAATTCCACGCGGGCGAAGTCGCAGGCAGCTAGTTTCAAATAAAAGTAAAGTATGCCAGCACACATGAATGCAGTACGGTGGACACTTTTTTGCCCTAAAACCCTCCAAGAAATGAGAGGAGGTCTGTGCCTACCAGCAGGTCGTATATAGGCTATAACTTCACTTTTTGTTCCTTCCTTTTCACTATTATCAATGATTAGCTGTAACCAACAAGTATTGCTACACCTCTTTTCTTGTCGCACACAACAACTCACAAAATTTCATCGTAATAAAATGAATGGTATAGAAACACATATATGGCGAACCAACAAATGTTCATATTTATTATTATCATCAGCAGCAGCATCATTACAGCGTATCACTAGTACACAGCTGACGTTGCTGTCTAGCGTGATTTATAACGCAATCCATTGGAAGACATCAATTCTGGCATTTCCCAAATACCAGAAACAGACACATGCCAGTTGTACCAGTTACTCGACTCCGCCGAGTCAGTAATTCATTTTTGGGGAGATGTATATGCTTTTACAACAAAATCCCAGAAAATAAAAATATACAAAATTTGACAACCACATAGTTCAAAAACTTTAACAAAGTTTATCTAAAGAGTGTTATTACACATCATAATATTAACACGTTCATGTACGCATACCATAATAGTCAACTTATAGGCCGTGGCGCATGATTACTCCATACAAAGTTTGAGGACGTCCATACTCGTTTCGCCGTATCACAAACAAAATATTGCATATGACTTGTCGGTAACGTCAGTAAGCGTTCGCGTTCAAGGACGCACCGGTATATTGCAGTATTGCCAACAACTTGGAACCTGATATCGCCATTTTTCACAGATTTAGTAGCCTAATATAGCCTAATTTGAGCTGAGGTAGCCTAAAGTAGCCCAAAGATCAAAACGTCGCTATGAATAAATAAAAAACGTAATATTTAACAATTGGTTTATTCATAAGATGTACATAGAGTATCAAATTTAAACAAATCGGCAATCATCATTTACTGCCAGCAGCAACAAAGCATCAGCAAGACTTTCACCGTCAAAATTTTCTGTAGCCTTTGCTGTGCTGGTCCTGGCGCAACCTTCGCTGGAACTGGAAACATATATTTTTCTCCCAGCATGTAAACTGATCATATGATTGCTCGGTTGAAAATTGTTGCAGCAAATATTTCGGACATTCATATTTGTACGGATTCTAAGAATTGCAATCAGCATGGGTAGTTACATTCTGTTCCTTAATTTTGTCTTTATCGTGCCCATCACACTAAAAATTATTTCTACGATAGCATTACTTAAAGGTAATGAGGGACATCGCAATGAAAACTTCGCAAACTCTTTAAACATCGGGTTCCCTCCAGCATTCTGTATTTTCAATACCTGTACCCAAAAATTTACGATATCATTGGGAGAAGCTGTACCGATTACTTCGATGCGCAACGTACTTAAAGAACAAAGTGGTTCATTATAGTTTCCCGGTCAATATTAGGTTTTCCTAATTGCCAGTGAAAATCATCAACGTTGGGTCTGCTAGTTGAGAGGCACACATGGCTTGGTGATAAATATTAAATTCTTTCCACCACTGACACATTAAGTGGTAGCCTGTCAACTAATTCCTTCACTAAGCGCACGAGAACATGCACGCACAGGACTCTTGGAGAAATTTCGCAAATAACAGAGAAATGAAAGATATAGCCGGTATTAATACTTTTAATAACAAATGTTACTAACAGCAAAGCGAATACTTACAATTTTATTGCAATCTAAAGGAGATGTTCGATTTTGGGCCACCACTATGTACACTACATAGATAAATAGGAAAAAAATTAAGGAATTTCATAAAAATACTAACAAATTAATTTGAAAAAGGGTATAGCCGTACAAAAATGATCATTTAAAAATATTTTTGTTATGATAACCCTATTTTAAGGGCAGCCATGACAGTTGTGTTAGATAATAGATATGACGTTTGACGACTTTGACAGTTTTAAGAAGTGACTAGACGTCTTTGAGTCTTTCTTTATTCTTTAGGGTTATAATCAAGTTATAATAATGTTCTGTTATGGGCCGAAAGGCAATATATTGCTGAAACAATTACTCCAAGAGAGGTAAGCACCCCTTTTGTTTTCTTTTTTATTCATACAAAGGTATGCAAATGTAGATGTTTCTTAATTATAGTCAAAGACTTCGTTTCAAGAAAAAGAACAGTCACAATTTAATTTTTGGAAATGTGTGTCGACATGTGATTTATATATAACATCACCTCGGATGAGTCTATAAAAGTGATATTGAAATAACTAAATCTTGATTAATTTAAATTATTTAGAAATATTGTGATATAAATAAATAAATCTTAATTTCATAGAACATAATAGAATGATTTTTTATTCAATATTGATTATTACATAATACTTATTGAAAGTCATTTTTTATTTACATTTTTTGTTTTAGATACCTGAAGGTGCTTTAATATGTTTTGCTTGTTGGGTACATACCTGGCGTACAATACAACAACAAGGAATCATAGCAGCTTCTACTGTTGTTATGAATATGAATGTATGTGTATGGTGCCGATGGTGTCTTGCCCAGACACACAGCCACTCCATACATGAAGGACCTGAACGGACCATAATAACAGAAACAATATATCCAAGAGAGGTAACATTAACAACTTACTTAATTACCTAGTGTTGGAATTAAATAATTGTGTGAATAGCCAATACATATTGTATTCTTTTCTTTTATTCAGATTCCACCAGGAGGACTGGTTTTCTATGCTTGTTTTCTAAACTCCAACCCCATCTAGCCTTCACAAAGACTAATGTATGCATGGTGTAGAATGTCTCTACACTGAAGGCTAACACACATGGCTCGTGGTTTGTAAGAGATAAACTTGCAGCAAGAATTCACCCAAATCAGGTTAGATTATTTTAATTTACCAAACCACCATACACACGTAATGTTACTGTACATTCAACTATAAGTAACCTTATCTGTTGCCCCTATAAATAAATTGTTTCTTGTATTGTTTCAGTTACCAGAATATGTGCTCATTTGTTCCAACTGTTGGACATGTGCACAGGAAAATATAGGAATAGAGCAAGAAGTTGTGCAACAAATTGATATGCAGCCACCAAGTGCATCAATAACACTTGATGGTTTTACACACACAACACAGACAAGTGCTCATTGTTTTGTGCCGGCTTATAATAATGTAGAATGAAATAGAGTGCCGGAATACTTAAGAATAATTATATATATTTTATTATTATTATATATAATCAATCACACAATAAATGATTTAATTAATAGGAATTTATTAATACCAGAGGGCTTGTTTGGAAACAGAGAGGCAAGAGTACCAATAATAATATGTGATGGTACCTATATATATCTTCAAACATCATCCAACTACTTGTTTCAAAAACAAACTTATAGCTTGCACAAATATAGAAACCTTGTTAAACCTTTTCCCATTGTTGCCACTGATGGTTACATTATTGATATTTTGGGGCCCTATCCAACAACCAAATCAAATTATGACATCATGAAAGCTTTGTTCCAAAATGAAAATGAGGGTCTAAGGTTTTTTTTCAGCCCAATGATGTTTTCATTTTGTATCGAGGCTTTCGTGATTCCATTCCAATGTTAGAGGGGTTGGGCTTCAAAGTATTTAAACATGAATCCTTAGAACAAGGAGAGACTCAGTTATCGACCATCAATACGAACAAGACAAGGTGTGTGACACTATGCAGATGGGTGGTAGAGGTAGTTAATGGTGGATTTAAAAGAGACTTTAAGCAACTGGGACATGAATATTTTGATTTGGCTGCCACCCATTTGATGGATAATGTTATAATTAATGCCTTCCATCCAGTGATTGAAAATAGACCAAATGCTGTAGCTATACTTGAGCAATAGAGAGTGAAAATATGCCCAACCCGTTAGCAGAATTTATAATTGCTAGCCGGATCAACCGCTTTAGAGCCCAATTCACAAGAATTGATGGTCAACTTCCAGAGTTAAGTATTTTCCCTAAAATGACTATGTCTGAATTGATACTTTTTGGGCTGGGTACCTATCAAATAAAACAGGCTAGAAGCTATTTTGGGGAACATATTAGGCAGCATGGATTATTTCAGTTAGAAGTATCGGACCAACTGGAAGAAGTAGCAAAAGCATCCCCATCCCAACTTGATCCTTTTTTAATAAAAGCCTGTATAAAAACTCGACATAGCTCAGTACGAACATATTATACCTACATATTGCTGGCAAGGGAAGGATCAAGTGGGGATGATAAAATAATTACCTATTATTGTAATTGTATCTCCGGACATTGGACAATGGGTTGCTGTGCTGAAGTCATGACCACTGTGTGGTATTTGGGTTGGGCTCAGTACCAAGAGAGCATAGAAGCACCAGTGTCATTTCTGGATGGAATATTAATAAGGGATGATGTGGAAAACGAATAAAATCATAAGTTCCAACAATTTGTTTTATTTAAATACC